TTGTTTATTCTTTAAAAAAAAGAAAAGAGAAAAAAACAAAAAAAAATCCAAAGTTGGGCAGACAGATTAGCTACCTGTGCCACTCAGTTTCTCGCCCTAACAGCCCTTCCTATATGAGCCATGCTCCCCATTTCTCGGGTGCACACTTTTTAAAGACTTACCGGCATTTGCATCTTGAGGAAGAAGAAGCGTACCTTCAGGAGCATCATCATTTGGTTGTCTTCACGCAGGGCGGTCACGCCTTCGGAGGGGGGGATGAAGAATCGGGGAGCTGGGCAGTTGGGGAGCTCTTTAAAAACGCACACGCGATCATGCATGCGCGTAGACATACATATGGACGAATACTCCCCGGTGGCGCTTCGCCAGACGGCTTCCAATCGTGAAGTGGCTCCCTCCCCCCCGCGTATGCGTCACGCTGAAATGCAGACCGCCGCTTTGCACGCATGCCACGGTTGCGCGTAACATTGGGACATGATTCGCTAACACCACGGAGGAGCGGGGGAAAAGTGCCTCTCCGTCTTACCCATAGATATGAAAAATATGAGGTGCAGCAGAAGCATCGATTTCATCCTACGTGGGTTAATTCGAAGGCGCTCAGAGCATACCCAGCACTTTCGTGGTGAATCGAAAAGGAGGGTTGAATTCGAATGAGAGACCGTTAGAAGGTATATGATCTTCGTCACCTATATGCATGTACACACAATATGGGGGTGACGCATGGGATATATGACACACATGCACTTATGTAATAAATGCTACTCACAAGTTGCACATCAGTAGAAGCCCCTGTTAAGTCGGACAGGCTACATCTCCCAACGTGAATGATACGGGATCCCCTCTCCCTATGTGTTGTGTTGACCTGTGGTTCGTGCAAGCTGACGTTTCTCCGCTTTGCGCGAAGGTAACAGTCTAGGTGGGGAAAAAAAAAAAAAAAAACGTCACAAGGGAACACAAAAGTAGCATCAATATGACGATGCCCTTTTATATATGAACATGTGAACATATAAATATAAAGAAAAAAGAAAAAAAATCAAAATGCGACCTTGGCGAAAAGATCGATGACATGGCACTTTACCATGCCCTTTGATATTTTTTCTTCGAGCCCCCTCCATCATCCCTTTTTTCTCTTTTTTTTTTTTTTTTTTTTTTTTTTTTTTTTTTTTTTTTTTGGGAGATTCATTTTGCAGGGAAAATGTGGAGGCGAACCCTTCACAAAAGTTGGGGTTCATTCAAATGTACACGCAGCTGCAGTTGCAGTAGTAGCTACAGTTGCAGTCGCAGTTGCCACCGCGGGGGGGAAATATGGAGGAGTCAAATTGGAACTCGAATCGAACTTGTGCTGTGTCGAATCGGGGGAGAGGTCACGGGCGATGCGAGTTGCACATGCGCGCGAGTCACCCTCCATGTTCGCACACAGATTCGTTTACACATTATCTTACACATTCGCTTCTACGTTTTCTTACACGTGTGCCAAATTGGGATGCAGACCTCGCCGCGTGAGGGCCGTGCTAAAAGCTGCCCGTTCTGCCATCCAACAAAGAGATACACACGAACACCCCACTCAGTGGATCCATATGTTCTCGTTCGGCCTGTACGTCGTGTCGGGCATATGGTAGGAAATGCTTATATCCTGCAGAAGACTCTTGTAAAGAGAATCGTCCTGAGATTTCTTTGGAAGTGTACTCGAGCTGAGGTCACTACTTCCTGAATGCTGTTTTGTGCTATTTCCACAGGTGCTTTGACTGGACTGATCACATTCCAAGTTCTTCACATCGCGCAGAAACTCACAGTAATATTCATGCGTCTTCTGAATCAAGCCTTCGCTCTCTTCTTTGTTGTACAATTTTTTTGAGATTATGTTTAATTTTTTCGATTCGGCCATTTTGTACGAGCGAAACCACTCCAGGAGCATGTTCAGTGTGGAGGGGTAGTACTTCTGCACGTCTTCCAGAGAGTTCACGTCGTCGAAGTGTTTGTCGTATTTCTACAGGGGGGAAGAGACACAGTGGTGAGGGAGAAAGGGAGTAGTGAAGCAGCAACTGCGTAGTGAGGGAGCAACGGAGTAGTGAAGCATCTCTCTGCACGTACATTGATGGCGATGATCTTCCAGTCCAGCTGTCCCTCATCAATTAGGGTGAACGCTCCGAGGACCTGGCAAAAAAGGGGATACACGGTGCACGTGAAGGGGGTGGCGGGGGATAGCGGAGGACACACGCACATGAAGATGGATCCATATACACCCCCACACACATGCAACATATATGCTGTGCGTCCTGGAGCGGATCCCACCTTGACTGGGACGATCTGCCCCATTTTGAGGCTGTTTTGGCCCACGTCCACCACGTCCAGGGGGTCGTCGTCCCCCGTGAAGAACAAGTCCTGGTTGTCCCCCGTCTGGCAGCTGTAAATATGCTTGGGATATTCATACGTGCGGGGCAAGGCGCCATAGTTCCAATAAATGGAGTTGTGGTAATAGCGAAGCTTCCCCTTCTTCGTATCCTGCTTAATGACATTAAAATTTTCTGTCAACTGAATCTCCAATTTTATATAATTGTACTTTGTAATCTCGACGACCATGTTGTACGTTCCGTCTTCATTGACCAAATCGATGTCATGCCATGGGGATATCTGAGCAAATTTGTCATTCACTTTTTGGAAATACGAAATGTAGAAATTGTCCTCATTTAGCTTATTGCAATATTTTAACATATAGGTCTTTTCGTTAATCGTGAAGATGTTTGTTATATAATCAAAGAGACTCAAATTTGAAAATATATTCGATATGATGTTGTTATTGTGGAAGTTTAAGTTGACTTGTAGCTCTTTGTTTGTCTCTACTTGGTACTCGTTTTTCACCTCCTCTTCGATCTCTTCCATATCCTTTTCCACCTCCTTCCTCTTTGGCATTTCACCATTGCTTGGCTTCATCACTGCGCTGCTCATTTTCCTTCCGCTTAGGTTTCGGATGCGTGTGTTCTTCTGCGGGGGGGCATGCGTTCAGGGCAGGGGTAGCACGAAGTGTGGGTATCACAAACTGCGGGGGTCTTGTTTGCTTTCCCTTTTCGGGAGTGCAGAGAGATGGGAAAATTTCTTTTTTTTTTTTTTTTCTTTTCTGAACTGTTCAGGTGAAAAGACGTAAACAAAAGGACTGTCTGCACTGTAGCTAGCTATTTTGTGTTTTTTTTTTTTTTTTTTTCCTTTTAATTGCCCACAAAATGTACATTCACAAAGTGCTCATCGTGTAAAAAGAAGGCATATAACTGGCATACCCCTAGGAGGAACGTCCGAGCATGGATTGACATATAGGGGTACTCCTACGCGTTGCCAAATTTGCACTACGTTGTGTAAATTGTACAATGAGAACTCCCCACCCCCCCGTGTGTGCAGGTGTAGCAGTCACGATAGGAGGAAGCGAATGGAGTTGCTAGAAGCGTGAAACTGAAAAACAAACGAATTCACATAAACGTACGGTTCATAGGTACATACCCGTGTGTGTATCGCGAATTGGTAAGCACAAATGTGGGAGGCGGAGGGGGACTAATCGCCTAGACTCAGCGTGGCGATGGAGGAAAGAACTTACTTGCAGAGCTACTTTCTCGCAGGCGCGGAGTAGGAACGCAGGGTAAACACACGCACACGTGAACACATACATATCCATACACATGGCATATACTCACACGGGGGTTCCCGCAAAGGGGCCACTCTTTGTGTGCTACACGCGAGGAAGCTCTGCAACGGATGCGTTACAGAACGAAGTGGGGG